TTAAGCCATTTTATCAAAGAACAAGCTGTGTTTTTTCTTTTGTTCAAGTCTATTTGTGTCTTTCAGAGTATTTTAAAAGTTCATTAAGTGAGTTTTATACATTGCTTGTTAAGTTTAATCCAAAGGTTTTTTTTTTTTCTATTATAAATGAGGTTTTCTCTACTGGTTATTGGTTGAGTAAATAAATGAAGGCTTTTGATTTCTAGATGGCAATTATATATCCTGCTAACTTACTACATTCTTTATTGCTTACCATTAATTAATTTTACCATTAATTCTCTAGAGCTTTCGGGCGCCTGGGTGGCTCAGTTGGTTGGGCGACTGCCTTCGGCTCAGGTCATGATCCTGGAGTCCCGGGATCGAGTCCCACATCGGGCTCCCTGCTCGGCAGGGAGTCTGCTTCTCCCTCTGACTCTCCTCCCTCTCATGCTCTCTGTCTCTCATTCTCTCTGTCTCAAATAAATAAATAAAATCTTAAAAAAAAAAATTCTCTAGAGCTTTCCATGTACAATATCATATCATCTGTAAAAAGAGACGGTTTTACTTTTTTTGCAATTCCTATGTTTTTTACTAGTTTCTCTTATCTAACTGTATTAACCAATACCACCAGTACACACCCAGACACACATGTATACACACACACACACGGATATAGATATAGGCAATCATATATATATATATATATATATATATATATATATATATATATATATATATATTTTAGATTTTATTTATTTATTTGACAGAGAGAAACACAGCGAGAGAGGGAACACAGCAGGGGGAGTGGGAGAGGGAGAAGCAATGCTTCCCGCGGAGCAGGGAGCCCAATGCGGGGCTCGATCCCAGGACGCTGGGATCATGACCGTAGCAGAAGGCAGACTCTTAACGACTGAGCCACCCAGGCACCCCTATAGGCAATCATATTTTTTGGAAAAGGTTTTATTTACTTATTTAGAGAGAGAGAGTGAGAGCACGTGAGCAGGGGGAGGGGCAGAAGAGGGAGAGAGAGAAAATCTCAAGCAGACTCCAGGTGGAGCATGGAGCCCAATGCAGGACTTGATCCCACAACCCCGAGATTGTGACCTGAGCTGAAATCAAGAGCCAGACACTTAGCCAACTGAGCCACCCAGGCGCCCCAATATAGGCGATCATCTTAAGAAAATATTCATCAATTTCTATTTTTTAAGTGCTTTTATCAATACGGGTGTTGACTTTTGTTAAAGGTGTCGTCAGCATCTATGAAGATGATAATCATATGACTTGTTTTCTTAAATGTGTTGATATGGTATATTATTTAAAGATTCCCTAATAACTAAGCAAACCTTGAATTTCTAGAGTAAATTCCACGTGCTCAAGTTTATTATTTTCTTAATGTGTTTTCATATTCTTTTTTTAAATTTAATTTTGTTATGTTATGTTAGTCACCATGCAATACATCATTAGTTTTTTTTTTTAAGATTTTATTTATTTATTTGACAGAGAGAGACACAGCTTGAGAGGGAAAACAAGCAGGGGGAGTGGGAGAGGGAGAAGCAGGCTTCCTGCAGAGCAGGGAGCCCAGTGCAGGGGCTCGATCCCAGGGCACTGGGATCGCAACCTGAGCTGAAGGCAGACGCTTAACAACTGAGCCACCCAGGTGTCCCCATCATTAGTTTTTGATGTAGTGATCCACGATTCATTGTTTTCGTATAACACCCAGTGCTCCATGCAGATTTATTCATTTATTAGAGAGAAAGAGTGGGGCAGAGGGAGAAGGAGAGAGAATCTTAAGCAGACTCCCAGCTGAGCCCAGAGCCGGATGTGGGGCTTGATCTCATGACCCTGAGATCACAACCTAAGTGGAAACCAAGAATCAGATGCTTAACTGATTGCACCACTCAGGCACCCCTGTGGTTTCATATTCTTTTGCTAATATTTAACATAGCTCATTTGAATCAATATTCACAAGTAATATGGCTTTGTAATTTTCTATTTTTGTATTCGATCAGGTTTTATATGAATGTTATCTTGCTTCATAAAAGGAATTAGGAAGTTTTTCTGCATTCTCATTGCTCTTAAACAACTTAAGGAGTACTACAAATATCTGAACTTTGAAGGTATAATTCTCCTAACTAAAACACCTGGGCTCACATTTATGGTCCTATGATGCTTGGTGAGGGTGCCAAAACAATTCAGTAGGGGAACAAATAGTCTTTTCAACAAATGGTGCTGGGACAACTGGATATCCATACAACAAAGAATGAAGCTGGATATCTACCTCACATCATATTTGAAAATTACTCAAAATGGATCAAAGAACTAAATGTAAGAGTTAAAAGCATAAAACTCTTAGAAGAAAACATAGTAAATCTTTAGTGACCTTGGATTTGACAGTGGTTTCTTAAATTTCACACCCAAAGCATAAGCAACCAAAGAAAAAAATATACAAGTTGAAACTTCATCAAAATAAAATTGTTTTGTACTTCAGAGGATACCATAAAGAAGTGAAAAGACAACCTATTTTTTTTTTTAGATTTTATTTATTTATTAGAGAGAGAGAGAATGAGAGACAGAGAGCATGAGAGGGAGGAGGGTCAGAGGGAGAAGCAGACTCCCTGCTGAGCAAGGAGCCCGATGTGGGACTCGATCCCGGGACTCCAGGATCATGACCTGAGCCGAAGGCAGTCGCTTAACCAACTGAGCCACCCAGGCGCCCGAAAAGACAACCTATTTAATGGGAGATACTATTTGGAAATTCTATATCTGAAAAGGGGCTGACAACTTGAATATATAAAGAACTCTTAGAGTCCAATAATAATATGGTAAATAACACAACTAAAACATAGTCAAGGATTTGAACGGATATTTCTCCCAATAAGACATACAAATGGCCAATAAGCACATGCAAAGATACTCAATACCCACTAGTCACCAGGGAAATTAAAATGAAAACTACAATGAAATACTACTTCACATCAACCAGGATGGCTATAATATTAAAAAAACAAAAAACACTAAATGTTGGACAGGATGAGAAATTGGAACCCTCAAATATTGTAGGTGAGATTGTAAAGTGGTGCAGCCACTTTGGGAAAATTAGGTAGTTCCTCTAAAGCTTAAACATAGGGTTACAATATGACCCAGCAGTTTCCGTCCCAGGCATATATCTAGAAGAAATGAAAACATGTCCACATAAAAACTTGTACGACAGTATTTCATGGCCAAAGAGTGAAAACAACCCACATGTCCACCAACTGATAGGAATATTATTCATCAATTAAAAAGAATAAAATACTAGGGCATCTGGCTGGCTCAGTCAGAAGAGCATGCAACTCTTGATCTCAGAGTCATGAGTTGAGCCCCACATTGGGTGTAGATTACTTAAATAAATAATAAAAAAAGAATAAAATACTGATAAATACTACAAAATAGATTAACCTTGAAAAGTTTACGCTATGTGAAAGGAAATCAGTCACAAAAGACCACACAGTATTTTTCAAAACTTATATGAAATTGTCAGAATAGGCAAATCTGTAGAGACAGTAAATAGATTAGTAGCAGCTTAAGGTTGGGGATGGGATGGGGTGTTGGGGGTGGTGAAATTGTTCTAAAACTGTGGTAATGGTTTCACAACTCTGTGAGTATAATAACCACTGAATGAATGTATACTTTTTTTTTTTAAGATTTTATTTATTTATTTGACAGAGAGAGATATAGCGAGAGCAGGAACACAAGCAGGGGGAGTGGAAGAGGGAGAAGCAGGCTTCCTGCCGAGCAGGGAGCCCGATGTGGGACTCGATCCCAGGATCCTGGGATCATGACCTGAGCTGAAGGCAGATGCTTAACAACTGAGCCACCCAGGCGCCCCTAAATGAATGTATACTTTAAATGGGTGAATTGTATGTGAATTATGTTCCAATAAAGCTGTTACCACCCCCACTCAGCCAAAAACCAATCCATCTGGGCTTGATGCTCTTTTGTAGTGTTAAGTTCCTATATGACTTTCTATGTTGGTTTGCAATGATATTCTATTTCTAGGCTTTCTGTCTGTTCTTTTAGCTTGATATATATTATTGTCTCATTTTTCAGGATATAAACGTTTAAGAATATGAATTTTCCTCTGATCGCTGTTCAAAAAACATCCCGTATTATTTATAATAATCAAAAAAGGGGAAGTAACCCAATGTCCATCAACTAATGAATGGATAAATTGTGGCACACCCATACAGTGGAATATTATTTAGTAAGAAAAAGAAATGAAGTACTGGTACATGCTACAACATGGGTGACCTTGAAAACGTTATATAAATCAAAGAAGCCAGACAAAGAAGACCGCATATTGTAATATTTTGTTTACATGAAATGTGAGAATAGGCAAATTCCTGGAGACAAAAAGTAGATTCGTTGTTGCCTTGGGCTTGGGGTGGGGTGGGTATTATAGCTAAGAGGGTACTGGGTTTCCTTTTGTGATTATGAAAATGTACCAAAATTGATTGTGGTGATGGATACACCGCTCCGACTATACTAAAAGCCACTGTACGGTACATTTTAAACGTGTTAATTATGTGCTATGAGAATTCTATCTCAAACAAGACTAAAGGTCTAAAAAGAGGACTGAATGAGCTAGGAGTTCCTTTTGTGGACCAGCAGGATTATCTTTATAAATATGCATAGCGCTACGTGGAGCTGGACCAACATGGAGAAAGACTTGTAGAAAGGCACTTGGTGAGCTTCCTTGGCCCGGAACCCGGAGGCAAACCCCGCCCACCGCGTCTGTGCCTCTTCCAACTCGGTCCCCTGCGCTCCTCTCGGCTCTCCGGCCCGGTCGCTGTGGACAGCCCGCTCTGGTTCCAGGTCCCACCGCCTCCCCCGGCGTCTGAAAGGAGAGGCCGCCACGCGTACTCCGACCCGGATGCTCCTGAGGCCCCGCCCCTTACGCTGACCTCGTGTCTGAAACCGGAAGCGGAAGTGCTCGTCGGATACCATCTCACTTCCCGCTCCGCCCTGCGTGGGAGGTAAGTTTTCCACTCTGTCGGCCTCTTGCGGGGCGCTCAGCGCCGGGGGTTTCGAACTTCCTGGGCTGGTTGGGAATCGCGGCGCTTCCTCCCCGCCGGTAGAGCGCGCCCGAGGGACTGCGGCCGCCCCGGTCCCTCCGAGAGCCTCTGTCGGCTCCGCCAGCGCGGGTGGGGGTCGTGGCCATGGCTCGGGGTGCCCGGTGGAGGCAGGGCCTTTTCTCCGTCCGGTGTGCGCTTCTCTTCAAAAGCTGCCACGACAAACACTGTGCCCTTTCTCCAGGGGAGAAACGTGTACGCAGTGGTGGAAAACGTCCGCGGGACCCTCTTCTCAGTGACCCGGCGATTGCGGGCGTTCTGGTGAGCACTGGACGGAACTGCTCTGGCTGTGGGCACCGTTAATGAAGGTGGATGTATTATTCAGGTTACCTTGTTGCACATTGACCATTTGTTAGTATGCTGCATGCGTAGTGGACCTCTTTTTACAACTCTCCATGTGTATAGTTAAATGTTTATGATAAGCTCTTTTGAAGGTAAGGAGATTAAAATAATTTGCAGGCATGAGGGGCGCCTGGGTGGCCCAGTTGGTTAAGCGACTGCCTTCGGCTCAGGTCATGATCCTGGAGTCCCGGGATCGAGTCCCGCATCGGGCTCCCTGCTCGGCGGGGAGCCTGCTTCTCCCTCTGACCCTCCTCCCTCTCCTGCTCTCTGTCTCTCATTCTCTCTCTCTCAAATAAATAAATAAAATCTTTAAAAAAAAATAATTTGCAGGCATGATATTCGACCTTTAGTACTTGGTTCCTTGCCTCACATGTAACAACAAAGGAGTTATGTAATAACTCCTACAAATTAATACCCAAAGTGAAAAATGAACAAGAGGTTTGGATAGGCTCTTCAATAAAAGAAAACATGCAAATGGACAACAAATATATGAAAAAGTGCTTCATTAGCAACCAGAGATTTGGAAATAAAAACCACAGTGTATACTACTGCGCACACTAAATGTCTAAAAGTAAAACTAAAAAGAGTGACCGTGCCGGGGCGCCTGGGTGGCTCATCGCTAAGCGTCTGCCTTCTGCTCAGGTCATGATCCCAGGGTCCTGAGATCGAGCCCCACGTCGGGCTCCCTGTTTGGCGGGAAGCCTACTTCTCCCTCCCCCCACTCCCCCTGCTTGTGTTCCCTCTCTCGCTGTCTCTCTGTCAAATAAATAAATAAAATCTTTAAAAAAAAAAAAAAAAAAAAAGCATCCGACTCTTGATGTCGGCTCAGGTCATGATCTCAGGGTCATGGGATGGAGTCGTGTGTCAGCTCTGTGTTCAGCAGGGAGTCTGCTGGAGATTCTCCCCCCGACCTCTGCCCTCCCCCACTCAGGAGCATGCACACGCTCTCTCTCAAATAAATCTTTAAAAAAAGAAAAGAGGGACACCTGGGCGGGACGCCTGCTTCTCCCTCTCCCACTCCCCCTGCTTGTGTTCCCTCTCTCACTGTCTCTCTGTCAAATAAATAAATAAAATCTTAAAAAAAAAAAAAAAGCGACAGTGCCAAGTGTTTTAAAGTGTATCGACTACCTTACACACCAGTAACACACACACATGTCCACCAATTGAACATGAACAGTATTTGTAACATCATTTTTTTTCCTTTTTTTGAAGATTTTATTTATTTATCAGGGAGACAGAGAGCGAGCACAAGCAGGGGGAGCAGCAAGCAGAGTGAGAAGCAGGCTTCCCGCTGAGCAAGGAGCCTGATGCGTGACTCAATCCCAGGACCCTGGGATCCTGACCTGAGCCAAAGGTGGACGCTTAACTGACTGAGCCACCCAGGCATCCTTATATGTAACATCATTATTTGAAATATCCCTAAATTGGAAATAACCCGAAGTGGATCAAGGGACAGGTGGATGAATTGTGGCATATATTTTTTGTGGCATACTCTTTAGTAAAAGGAAGGAGCACAGATGCAACTTGGATGAACGTCACAAACATAATGTCTAATGAAAGAAGCCAGACATTAAAAGAATGCATGCTGTTTGATACTCTTTAAAATTCGAAAACAGGCAGAACACTCTAAAGTGTCAGGATAGTGGTTGCAGTTGGGAGGCATGGAGTGAGTGATTTGGAAAAGAGACAAGGAATATGTCTGAGATGCTGGATTTGGATATATTACTATTTCTCAACCTGAATGATGGTTATAAGGGGCTGTTCATTTCTTAATTCCTCACTGAGATTTTTATTCATGATTGCCTCCCTTAGTTGTAAGTATGCTGTAATTTAATAAAAGAAGTTCGAGAAATGGATCTAAGCATTCTACTTCATAAGGTTGAGCAAGAAATACAGAAGTAGAAGAAAATATACTGAATGAATAAAAATAAAACTAATGATGGAAAAAAGTAATAATAAGAAAAGGTGAAAAGATGCATGATATATTTGTATACTAGTCTTTGTGGTTAACTGTGAGATAATATGGAAAGCCTTCAGTTTCAACATAAAAAAAAAACCTGGGACACCTGGGTTGCTCAGTCCGTTAAGCCTCTGCCTTCAGCTCAGGTGATCCAGGGGTCCTGGGATTAAGTCCCGAATTGGGCTCCTTGCTCGCAGGGAGCCCCCTTCTCTCTCTGCCTGCCACCCCTCCTGCTTGTGCTCTCTTTCTCTTTGACAAATAAATAAATAATATCTTTTTTAAAAAACAAAAAACCCAATGACATGATTCAGAAGCTGTTGGAGTGGCTAACATAAGTGTATTTTGAGTTTTTGTAAAATTATGGTATTTCAAGTTTGGATGTCTTTGGGTCAAACTTTGGACACTTTTTAAGTGAGGTATAAATTATCACAGTCCTCTGAAGTGATTATTTCCCTATTCTGTCTTTATCCTACCTTTAACTAGCCTTATTTCTGTATCAGGAATATATTTGTATATGTGCAGTACTCCTTATACTTTAATGGGATTGATTCTTTAACTATACTGCTCATTACCAACTGATAATTATCTGTTTATTACCGGCATTGCCCGATTGAACTGTGAGATCCCTAAGAACTGTTCCCTCCTCTTTGCCCAGTACCTGGCCTGGCAGAAGGAAGGCCCTTAGTAAATATTTGCTGACTGAATGAAGGAGTAAGAGACAGAAGGAGGCAAAGGTTCTAAATCCAACCAAGTTCCAGCAGGGGGTGCTCAGAAGGACTTCTCATTTCATAAAATCTTTTGTATTTCTCATTGCTATTATGCCTAGCAGAGGATGTGGACTGAATTCTGGTTATCTGAGGAATAACAACTACCACAGGAGATAAGGCTTTTGCCATACCAGCATGTGTCTGCCTGGCTTACCTTTCCTAACGGGTGATTTGAGACAGTTATTAATACTGTGTGAACCTACATTTTCTCAGTTATTAAATGACCGTTATTAATACCCAATTTGGAGGGTTGTTAGGGCAACTAAAGGAGTTTATATTTGGAAGGCAGCTATGCTAACCAGTATACCACCAACGCAGGAGTTTATATTTGTAGAGCTACTAACAGTGCTCAGTAAATAGAGGTTGGTATTAATATTTGCATGGTAGGATATTCAACAGTTTTTAATGGCTGTCACATGTTTTGTCTGCACAGAGATGGCTAAAGAGTGATGTTTGATGATTGAGAAAAAATGTCTATTGCTTAATGATGGATATTGTGAACTGGTTACCCAGACACTCCAGTAGTCAAAGAGAAATTGAGATCAACCTCTTAATTTAAACTCAAAAGCTTCTCTGACGTGGTCTTCTGAGCAAGAAATGGAATATTTTGGAAATTCCCACTATCAGATTCACAAGATGGCAGCCCTTGATGTGAATCAGGTGTGTGGTGAGTCCTTGTTGATGCTTCTTTTCATATAGTTCCATCACAAATGGCAGACCCAGTGCTCAGTGCTGGGGGCTGAGTGATCATGCAGTAGACCATATAAGAGCAACTGAAATGAGCAGAGCATGTACAAGTCAGGTTCCTGGGATTTGGGAGGCAGGAAGGTGTGTGTGCTTTTTGAGGGGGTAACATGTTCATGAATTCTGTTGTGTCAAATAGCTCTGCTCTCTGTACTGTAATTTGTGTAACTCTAATTGGAATATTTAACCTGTTCCTCATGGGTAGCAAGATCCAGAAAACCATTTTCTTGCTACAGGTAACTCAGAGCACTTTGCCAGTTTATGGAATTAGTGTGTTTATGGTATGTTCTGTGCATGGTGTGGAATAGCTTAAGGCATGTGATTATTGGATTGGCTTCAGAGTTCATGGCATTCTTCTCTCTGAGGTCATCTTTCTTGGGACCCTTACTGTCTTCATGAGGGGAAAATTGAGGAGGCAAGGATGGTGGCTGGGTTACTGATGAATTCTTCTCAGGTAAGTGGAAAGTTGACCTTTCTGCAGAATGTCAGGCTTATTTGTTGGGTAGTCATTTCTCCTTGTAATGTTCCCAGGCTTCTTATAGCAATTAATGACTCTGCTTAGGAATGAGTCTCAGGTCAATTTCTCCAGGACTCATGCCATCTCAGAATATATAGGGATTACACTAATCCTCAAGATTATATGATTCTTTTATCTCAGTATTAATTAATTCTTTCTGATCCTCAGTCATGCTTGTTGGCTTATCGTTTTGTTGAGTGGTATGATAGATACCGAGGAATGATATGAAGGTATCTAATCTCATGGAATGTGTGTGTTACTGTGGAAATAATTCACCTGTTAGAAGATTTTACAGTGTTTGCATTGTGTTCAGTGCTAACTACAGCCTATAAATAGAGGAGGAATAAAGCACAAATAGCCCACAGTCAAGCTGTGATAACATAAATGTAGTCACGTGTCAGTAATGCTGGTAAGTCCATGTGACTGGCTCTGATCACCAGGCAGCATCTGTAGCTAGAGAGGAGAAGAGGTCTGGGCCCAGGAGTACTATAGGCTTCTGGTCTACCTTCCTCAGTCCCTCATGCATCTTCCTGAGAATCTCAAAGAAGATGGTGGTTAACTGAAGCCAGCATGTATTTGATGGTTTAGCACTTAGTGACCTTCGAGGATGTGGCTGTGAACTTTACCCAGGAGGAGTGGACTTTGTTGGATCAAACACAGAGAGATCTCTACAGAGATGTGATGCTGGAGAACTACCAGAATCTCATTATACTAGGTAAGGCTGAAATCATTTCTTCATGAATGTTATGAATGTTATGAAATGAATGTTTCTTAAGTATCTTTGCTGTCAAATGGGAATAGTTTGGTAAACAAGACAGACATAATCCCTGGCCTCAGGGGCCTTACTATCTAGAGGATTCCCTGTGAAAATGAAGATCTGTCTAAATAAATGACTTTATTACTTTTAGGGACTGAAAACCTTAGGATTTTAAGTGTGTGTAGAGGCTGGACATGATTTTCAGGTCTTAGAGCTCTCTAGTCATTTGAGGACACAGAAAGAATGTACTTAAATTTTTGTTCCTTTTAGAATAGTTTTATTGCATCGATTTAAAATTTCGTGTGATTATTTTGCTGTTTGTAAAGTGAGACTTCACTGTCTACAGAAACCCTGAAGCTAAAGTGTTGGTTCCTATCCAAAGAGCCGCGTTTCATGTCTTGCAAGGTCCACTTCATATATTTTTCCTGTAAGCAGGATACGAATCATGCAAACCTGATCTCAACTCTTCAATGGGAGGAGCAGAAGAGCTGAGGACAGGAGGGAGAGGAATTCTGCAGGGTAAGTTCATGCCTGGGAAAGGTGCCGTACATTTGGAAATGCCACTTGGCAGACTTTCAAAGGTATACTCTTTTTCTGAGAAGGCCGAAGTCATTCGGTTTCTGAGTTTGCTTAGGAACCTTCAACTCTCTTTACCTTTAAATTTCCATTGATCTCAGCCTTTCCTATTCTCCCAGAAAGATCTATTTGACTCCATTGAAAATTTCATTACTGGCAGATAGCTCATTTTACAGTACTTTCTATCTTGTTTTCCTGATTCTGTCAGTGTCTTTTTGTTTATGGTCAGCCTTAGTTTTCCAGAGTATTAAGCTTTGTACATTGCCTACAATTTCGACACCATACCCTTTATCATTGCCACACTCCTAACAAGCCAAACTCTGTGTAGTCCAATTTCCCTTTTGTTTCAACCTTTTGTCTTGTTTCATGCATATTTAGACATAAGTATGTGCCATATGTTTTTTTTTAGAGATAAAATACACAAAAATTAACCATTTTAGTGGGTATGATTCATTGGTATTGAGTACATTCAGTGTTGTGCAACCATCACCTCTTTTTAGTTCCAAAATATTTTCATACTTGAAAAGGAAACCCTGTAACCATTAAGCAGTCAGCCTCCCTACCACTAATCTACTTTCTAATCTACAGGTTTGCCTATTCTGTACATATCAAATAGAATCATACAAAATTCAGTTTCATGACTATAACTTATTACCTAGAAATAGAATTGTGAGGGCATATGGTCATTTTATGTTTAACTCGTTAAGGATTACCAAACTATTTTATACAGAAGCTGTACCATATTATATTCCCTCTAGCAGTCTAGAAGTTACTCCACATCCTTGCCATCGCTTCTTTCTTCCTTTCTCCCTCCCCCCTTTCTTTTTCTTCTTCTTTTTTTTTTTTTTCTTTTTAATAGTAACATCCTAGCAGGTATGAAGTGGTATTTTACTGTGGTTTTGATTTGCATTTCCCTAAAACAAATGATGTTGGACATCTTTTGTGTGCTTGTTGACCATTTCCATGTCTTTGGAGAAATGCTGATTCAAGTTCTTTGCCCATTTTTTACATTGGGTTGTTTGTTTTGTTGTTGTTGAAGCATGGGCGTTCTTTCTGTACTCTAATAGTGGACCCGTATCACATGGATGATTTGCAAATATTTTCTCCCATTTTTGGGGTTATCCTTTTGCTTTTTTGATAGTGTTCTTTGATGTATATTTTTAATTGCAGTGGGGTCCAGTTTATCTTTGTTTTCTTTGGTGCTTTTGATGTCATATCTAAGAATAGATAGATTGGACACTGTCAAATCCAATGTTCTGAAGGCTTACACCCTTGTTTTCTTCTAAGAGTTTTTATAGGTTTAGCCTTTACACTGGGTTTTTGATCCGTTTTGAGTGAATTTGTGTATGTGGTGTGAAGTAGAGGTCCCATTTGATTCTTCTGCATAGAAATATCCAGTTATCCTAGCACTGTGTGTTGAAGAGACCGTTCTTTCCCCCATTGGATGGTCATGGCACGCTTGTTGAGAATATATTGATTCTAGATGTATGGGTTTTTTTCTGGATTCTCTCTTCTATTCATGTACATGTCTGTCCTTTTGCCTGTACTACACATTTCTGATATTGTACTTTTTGGCTCCAGAATTTTTTAAAAAAGATTTTATTTATTTATTTGACAGAGAGAGAGCAAAAGCACGGGGAGTGGCAGGGGGAGAGGGAGAAGCAGGCTCCCCGCTGAGCAGGGAGCCTGATGCGGGGCTTGATCCTAGGACCCTGGGATCATGACCTGGGCCACCCAGCTGCCCCTTGGCTCCAGAATTTATTTGATTCTTTTTTGTAATTTCTGTCTCTTATCTGACAATCTCTTAAGTGAAACATAATTCTTCTAGTTTCCTTTAATTCTTTGTCTATGGTTTCTGTTAGCTTTTTGGGTGTGTTGAAACAGATTGATTTAAACTTATTAGTAAGTCCAATGCTTTGGCCTTCAGGAACAATTTGTATTAATTTCTTTATTGTTCCTTTGCATACCTCATGTTTTAGTTGGAAATGTAAATTTTAGATACCATAATGTGGCAATTTGAAAATCTGCTTCACCCCATCCCTGGGTTTGTTGTTGCTGCTTGTTGTGTATTGTTGGTGTTTGTTTAGTGGCTTTTATAAATTGTTTTTGTATATTCTGCCTTCTTTTTAGTGCACTCCCTGAAATCTGTGTTCTATTAGTTTAGTGGTCACCTTAGAGTGACAGAAATTCCTTAAATACTGGAGCCAAGAAAAGAAAACTAAAATATTCTTTTAGTTTTTGTTGATTGGCTGTGTGTTGGGCCACTCCTTCAGTGTTTAGCTAGACCATCTACAACTCTTCCTTAGCCTTCCATTCCTGGCTGAAGGTCAGCCAGAGGTGAAAGTTTTGAGTCCTCTCCGGCCTTTCTCAGCATGCATCCAGCCCCCAGTGTGCTTGTGGACTTCTTGATTCCCTGGTAAACACTCGAGCTTTTATTTACGCACATATCAGCATTCCCAGTCTGTTCCTTCTAAGGCTTTTCAGGCTGTCTTTCGTTTGTCCCAAAGGCTTTTCCTTTCCTTGGACTGCTGTGGGCAACACTTTGCCTTTAGACACTTTCATCAGTAGTTGTCTGAGATGCTGCCTTGCTCCTGGGAACTCTCTGAGTTGGGTGAGATAAAGGCACATGCTTGCAGCGGTGATACTCGAGGAAGCTGCCAGACAGATGGAAACACAATGGCAGTTCTTCAGCAAAGTCCATAGTGCTCCTTTCAGCACTTGTAACTTGCTCAGGGATGCATCCTGTTGTCTACATGGCTGCCGGTGATCTGGAGAGGGGGGATGGTAGGTGGGTAATTAAAATGCCTCAGCACTCTCTTGGTGAACTATAGTTGCTTCTTTCTTCCATAAGTGTTCCCTTGGTGGTTGTAAGTTTTTGACTAGGTTCTAAAGTTCTGTAATAGTTGATTTTGATAGTTTTTGTAAGCTTGTTTGTTGTTTTCTGATGGGAAGGAGTCCTGGAGTTCCCTACTTTACCATATTTTGTGGTGTCATTCTCTGTGCCATATGCTTTTAAACAATTTTATCCCAGGATTTTTCTCCAAAACTAAATTTTTCCACTTTTTTTCAGAATTGGATTTGCAGCTCAAAACCAAAGGTTCCACATCCCTTCAAGATATTTCTTCGGAAAAAACATCAAATGGAATACAGTTGGTAAGATCTCCAAAAGTAATTCCTTTCTTCCACACCTGGACCAGAAGTACAAAATCCATGTGAATTATATGAAATAAATGTCACTTACCCAAAGAAAGCACAATCTGTGAAGAGATTCTTTGAATATCAAGAATTTGAGGAGCACTCTAAACCTACTTCAAACCCGTTTCTCCTCAGAGATCCACATAAATATAACTCAGATGTCCAGTTTTTGATGCACTGGGATTTAGTCAGAATAATTTAGGTTTTAAATGATTTAGTATGAATAATTACCAGAAGATACTCTGTGAAAGTAGAATATAATTCAGGGCCCTAGCCTCAGAGTCTGTTCAACTTAAAACAACTCAAAAACAGGGCAGGAACTCTGTACACTTAAATGGAAATGGAAAAAACACTTCAATTATGATGATGTTTCCAATGCATAAAAGTTGTGATGAGGGAGAAATTCTGTTATAGTGCATGTGGAAAAGTCTTTAGTTATTACTTAAACCTTAATCAACAGGAGAGAAGCAATGCTGGAGGGAAGCGATATGGCTCTCACCTGTATGGAAGAGCATTTAGTGGGCACTTATTTATGACTCACAGTAGACAGAAAACTTCTAAGGGTAATCAGAATGGGAAAGCCTTTAAAAAGAACTTTATTTGTACTTTGCTCAAGGAAATCCCTGTTGGGGAGAAAACTTCTGAGAGTGTTCAACATGATAAAGCCTTTTGTCAGCTTTCAAATCTTACTGGGCACAAGAAAACTCAGACACAAGGGAAAGTATGTGAATGCAAAGACTGTCAGAGAACTTCTGTTGATCAGTCATCCCTTAAGATACATATGAGACACCACACTGGAGAAAAACCATATGAATGTAAAGAATGTGGGAAAGCCTTCCCTCATTCCTCATACCTTACAGATCATAGACGAATTCACAGTGGAAAAAAGCCGTATGTATGCATGGAATGTGGGAAAGCCTTTACTCGATCTACAGGACTTATTTTACACATGCGAATTCACACTGGAGAAAAACCATATGAATGTAAGGAATGTGGAAAAGCTTTTATTCACTCTTCATACCTTACAAAACATGTAAGAATTCACAGTGGAGAAAAGCCATATTTATGTAAGGAGTGTGGGAAAACGTTCACTCGTTCCTCAGGACTTGTCTTACACGTGCGAACACACACTGGAGAGAAACCCTATGTATGTAAGGAATGTGGGAAAGCCTTTAATAATTCTTCAATGCTCAATCAGCATGTAAGGACACACACTGGAGAGAAGCCATATGAATGCAAGCAATGTGGGAAAGCTTTCACTCAGTCTTCAGGCCTTACCACACATTTAAGAACTCACACTGGAGAGAAGGCCTATGCGTGTAAAGAATGTGGGAAAGCTTTTGCTCGTTCTACAAATCTTAATATGCACATGCGAACGCATACTGGAGAAAAGCCCTACAAATGTAAAGAATGCGAGAAGGCCTTTAGATACTCCACATGCCTTAATATTCACATGCGAACTCACACTGGAGAGAAACCATATGAATGTAAGGAATGTGGGAAAACCTTTGCTCAATCTTCGGCACTTGCTAAACATTTAAGAACTAAGGCATGTGAAAAAACCTGTAAATGTTCTTCAGACTTTAGTATTCACATCTAAACTCATCTGGATAAAGTACCTTATGAAAGTAAAGAATGTGTGAGAAATCTTTACTCATTTTTCATCCTTACATGATAGGAACTTTCTGGGGCAGAATTCCCATTCATATAAGGTATATGGGAGGGCAGTAGTTGTTCCTACTTTACAAAATGTGTAAGAACTCACACTTGAGAGAACCTTCCAGTTATAAGGTATGTGGGAGAGCCTTTTTGTTACTGCTCTAAACATTAATTTTACATATCTAAAATTACTGTGAAAGTCAGGGGTGCCTGGCTCAGTTGGTAGAGCAGGTGACTCTGATCTCAGGGTTGTGAGTTTGAGCCCCACTTTGGGCATAGAGATTACTTACAGATAAATAAGAAACTACTGTAAAAGTGATGTGAAGGTAAGAATGAGATACAGCCTTAAAATATGACCACATGCTTTCATAGCACGTGATAACTCATACTAGGGATAGATCATTTGTATGTAAGGAATGTGGTAAAACCTTTGTGCCAAGGCCTTAATATCCACATGAGACTTCATACTGGTATAAAACCCTACAAATGTCAAGGATCCAGGAAGACCTACAGTTGTTTCTTATATCTTTTAAGAACTCAGCATTTAAAAAAACAGTGGAGAGATTTCTGTGGGAAAGCTTCGGGAAAGCTTTTAGAAATTCTTGATTGCTTCATATGCAAGGAGACTCATGAATGTAAGAAATGTTGAAAATTGTTCAAGTGTTAATGGGTAAGTCACAACACACAGTGAAGAGAACCTTATGATGGTAAGATATGTGGGAAAACAGCCCCATATGTTAACATTCTTTGGTAATCTCACAGAGGCAGAAAATGTTATGAATATTAGAAATAATGGGTATGCCTTTATGTGTGTATGTGTGTATGTGTTTATTTTTTGGCTTTTGACCTTTAGTAAAAATAATCCACACTGGAGAGAAATAGTGGTTGTAGGGTACATGGGAAATGGTGTATCCATCTTATACATCTTACTCTACATGTGAAAACCCACCCTGGAAAGAAGCTGAATGAATGTAAAAATGTGGGTATGATTTTTGGTAAATACACATCCCTTAAGAGACACAAAATACTCACTGAAAGAATGAAGTATGAATGAGAGGAATTTGGGGAAGCTTTCAGGTATTGCTCTTTACTTACTGTACACAAGAGAATTCTTCCTGGAGGTCATATTGAAATAAATGACATAAATACAATTGCCTTTCTGTGTGTTTCCTTCTCAAGGAAAGCAGCTAGCACCTTTATTTTTTGTGGTGGTTTTGTATTACAAAGTTTTAGTTGCTTTTAAAGATACTCTAGGGACGCCTGGGTTGCCCAGTCGGTTAAGCGTCTGCCTTCGGCTCAGGTCATGATCTCAGGGTCTTGGGATCAAGTCCTGCATCGGGCTCCCTGCTCACCGGGGAGTCTGTTTCTCCCTCTCCCTCTGTCTCTTCCCCCTGCTCGTGCTCTCTCTCTCAAGTAAATAAATAAAATCTTAAAAAAAAAAAAAAAAGATACTCTAAGTAAAATTTTTTTCAATATTATACTCATTTCATATAATGGTGTTTTCATTATGGTTCACATCTAAGGACTTCCCCATATATATGTCTTCATTAAATTATATGAGATATTTGGAACCTTATTTGGCAATGTAAGAGCATTTTTAAAAAGATTTTATTTATTTGACAGAGCAGGGGAAGCAGCAGGGAGAGGGAGAAGTAGGCTCCCCGTGGAGCAGGGAGCCCAATGTGGGGATCGGTCCCAGGACCCTGGGATCATGATCTGAGCCAAAGGCAGACACTTAACTGACTGAGCCACCCAGGCGCCCCTCTAAGAGCATTTAAAAATATATATTTGTTTATTTTGAAAGCGTGCGCGTGAGCTGGGGGAGGGACAGAGGGAGAGAATCTTTCAAGCAGACTCCCTGCTGAGTGCAGAGCCCTACACAGAGCTCAATTTCATGACCTATGAGATAATGACCTGAGCTGAAACCGGGAGTTGAACACTCAACTGACTGAGCCACCCATGTGCCCTCGCAATGTAAGGGCATTTTATCGTATTTTTAGGTACTGCTTTCTAGTTTATTTGCAAGTGGGTCATAAAATGGGGCTCTTCATATTATTTGATATAGGACAATTCTTGCTTTCTATGGCAAGTAGTATTTAGTCATCACAATATTCCTTGTCCCTTATAAATAGAATCCAGATTATCTCCAGGCACATAGTTTTTAAAAAAAAATCATTCCTACTTCTCAGGTTTCCTTGGGTTTATAGGAAGACTATTTCATAATCCTGGCTAATAAGAAGTAGGCAGAAGACATCAGTGTGCATTCTGGGAAAGCTTTTAAAAAGGGGACAGTCTCCAGTGGCTTTTTCTCTTCAAGGATTGCTCTTCATTCTTTCTCCTTCCTTCGTGGAAGTCAGGTACATTCCTATAGTTCAGATGATACATTGTGTACTATGAGGACAAAAGCTACAGACAAATAAGGTATAGCTGAAAAACACAGAGATGTTTTCTGCTTGTAGTATTGCACCAGCCATTGCACTGCTTATGTGTAGACTTCTTGGTACCTGAAAAAAGCTTATCAGGCTGAGCACTTATATTTCAGATTCATCAGTGTATAGATGGCACTTAAAACCATTCAGTTAGATAATTTCAGCTGAGGATTGGCAAGCCCTGGGAGTCAACTTTGGCAGTTGGAGTCATGGGAGGAAGTACTGAATGAATTGAGAAGTAGTGGCCCATGAAATAGCAATAGAATTAAGATTGGTGTCCATGAATCCAAGGCAAGGAGCAGCGACTGATCCACTATACCAAATGCTGATTTGGGTGAGTTGAATGAGGATGGGATTTAACCATAAAAGTCACTGAGGACATTTTTCAAAAGCTGGCTTTATAGAACAGCATGTGCCAAGGTCTTTTTGCAATAGATTTCTGAGAAATTAGTATATACATTGTCCATCCTATTCTACCCTATCCATTCTATCCTAAATATAGATACTTCTCTTTGACCTCACAATCTGTACCTTAATATTTTAGCTTTACATTGTGTTATTAGTTTACTATTGCTGCTATAACAAACTACCAAACAATGCCATAAGACAACTAAAATTTTACTACCTTACAGTTTTGGAGTTCAGAACTCTGAAAAGGGTTCCAGTGAACTAAAATCAAGATATTAATAGGACTGTATTCCTCCCTGGAGGCTCTAGGGGTGAATCTGTTTCCTTTTTCCAGCTTCTAGATGCCCTTCTCTCCTTTTTTTTCTGGATCTTTTTTCCTTCTTGAAGACCAGCAATGTCAGTCCATCTCATACTACCATCTCTCTGACTCTTCTGCTTTACCTCCTCCTCCTCCTTTTTTAAAAGATTTTATTTATTTATTTGAGAGAGAGAGAGAGCACAGAGGGAGATTGAGAGGGAGAAGCAGACTCCCCGCTGAGCAGAAAGCCCGATGCAGGGCTCCATCCCAGGACCCTGAGATCATGACCTGAGCTGAAGGCAGATGCTTAACTTCTGAGCCACCGAGGCGACCCCCTCCTTCTACTTACTTAAAAAAAAGTAAACTCCCCAATGTGGGGCTCAAACTCAAGGTCCTAAGATCAAGAGTTGCATGCTTTCCTGACTGAGCCAGCCAGGCACCCCACCTCTACTACATTATTTTAATACTTTTATTTCCCCACCATTCTGTTAAATAGAGAGCGAGCACGAGTGGGGGAGAGGAAGAAGAAGAGGGAGAGGGACAAGCAGACTCCTTGCTGAGTGCAGAGCCCAACACGGGGCTTGGTCCCAGGACCTGAGATCATGATCTGAGCCGAAGTCAGATGCTTAATCGAATGAGCCACCCAGGCATCCCTTTTTTTCCCATTCTTAAATTTTATAATTCTAGCATACATATAGAATATAGTGTGAAAATCATAAGTGCTGCTAATAAACTACAAAATAGTGTGTCCATAGGTATCTACCTTCCAGATAAGGAAATGGAAGATTACCTTACCCATGTGAATCTTTTCCATCTTGAATCACCTTCCATCCAAGAGGAAACCATTGTGTTTGGACATTGGCTTAACCATTGTATTAATCATGCTTTTAATTTTGCGTATTATATTGCTTTAACATCTTTGGGGTCTTGCTGCCTGGAGAGACTGCCCCTCCAGGACTAGCTTTTTTTTTTTTTTTTTTTTTTTACCTAAATTGTTTAATAGGTAAGAATTTTACAAACATTACTTATATTAGCAGTAGCAGTGGGGCTGGAGAATATTGTGTCCTCTCCGTCCTGCCTGGTGAGAAACACTAATAATGTGGTGGAACTTCTGACCCTTCCCAAGGCCGTGGCTCTTGCAGCCTGCAGATGTCAGCCCTCCCGTTTCCCTGTGCTTGGGGACTGGTTTAGTGATCCACTGGTGTCAGGATTTCTTCTGATAGCTTTATGGAATGGATCAATGAGGATAACCTCAAAGAATTTGTATGTGGAATCTTCACCAACCCAGTAAGAATTCAAGACTCTCAGAGCCCCAGTGGCATCCAGCTCGCTCCTCTGCAACTGACTGAAGTTGTTGGGCAACTTTAGCTGGTTAACACCATGACGGACAGGCTTGCCATAGGTTGCACCCTTAGGAACTGGGTATTGGCGGCCACTACATCACACACGAATCCAAAATAGGACATGAACTTGCTTGGCCTTGTACCCCAGTCTGCATGCTTTATCGGGCTGGGTTGGGTGGAGGGCCCTGTGAAGTGCAGAGAACTGGTGGTAACTGCCAGCAGTGCACCCTGAGAAAGTGCATTACATTGGACTGCTTCCTCCTCCATAGCTCCTGGATGTACTGGTAAGTGCCCCTTTTGGCTTGCCTTTCAGTGGACGGCCGCTTCCAGACAAAGGACTAGCTAATTCTTTTTTTTTTTTTTTAAGATTTTATTTATTTATTTGACAGAAAGAGAGCACCAGCAGGGGGAGTGGCAGGCAGAGGGAGAGGGAGAAGCAGGCTCCCCGCCAAGCAGGGAGCCAATGTGGGGCTTGATCCCAGGACTCTGGGATCATGACCT